GCGGGGGGGGTAAACGCATGTCGTAGTGGTGGGACCGCCATAGTCGTCAGACCACTGACCCCATTTCCCTAACCTTTTGTCGTATTTTCGCCGGCCCAGGCTGCGGGAGGGGGATAAGCCCAGTGATACCAACGTATCCCGAGCACTAGGTCACAAGGCAACCTCCCGACAACTTCCTCCCCCCCCCCCAAAAAAAAAACAGCCGTGCAACACACCAAGGAAGGCCACCGCACGACCAACCTCCTCTTGCACAGAAAGAGTCGTGCGACATACAAAGGACTGCCGTCCACTCTTCTTTCTTCCTTGCCCACACGGAACAAAAGGGGAGGGTCGAAAACCCGCACGCACACCTAGTACCTCATGGACACGCAGAGGGTGCCGAGGTCCGGGGGCTCTCTCACTGGGGACGCGGGGGGACTTCGTCCCCGAGGGGGGGACGCGGATGGGCTTCGACCCCCCCCGCCGAGGATGTTGGGCGTCTTGATGTTGATGCTGGGGGTCTTGATGTTGATGTTGTACTTGCCCAGGGTCTTGGAGTAGCGGCTTGTGGCCGGCGGCGGCGGGGTGATTTTCATCTCCAGCTTCGTACGCTTTGCCTGGCGGTTACAGCAGTGTAGAGGGAGAGAGAGAGTGGCTTCAACCAGACGCGGGAGGTGGTGCCACCATCCTGTCATATCCCACACGATGAGGGGTTCTCAAGACTCGCTGGAAGCGAAAGAGAAAAGGAATAGCCTGTCGCACAGGTTCAGTCCACGACGAACATTTTTTGCTATTTTTTTGTGCGGCAACCTCGAGTCTGTTCCGAAAACACACCGTGTCGGACAAAATGGATCGATTGCATGTACCTTGGGCTCCTTGAAGCTTGCGATGGGGATGAAAACCTCCCCCAGCGCCTCGTCCTTCTTCCCTCCCATGTCTCTGTCGAGGAGGGACACCTGTCATCGCACAAACGCAAAACGGTTCCCAAGCGTCGCGCGTGTGTGTTGTTGGGTATTGGTGTTTAGTGTCATCTACGTTCTGCGCGCCAGCCTGCAGCGTTTTGTGTTTACGTTTGACGAATTAATTAGCCAGGGTCAACACAGGAGGGAGGCAGCCCTGATAAATAATGTGTTGCCAGACTTCTATCTTTTCAACCTGGGCACCAGCGGGACACGCCCTCACGGCAGTCTTGGCTCCGAACAACCGAAGCCGAACGATTCTGGACCAATATACAGCAGGCGAGGTCTTACTCAATCCAGCAAACACCGGCCGGGGTCACACAGGAGTTTTTCGTGAAAAGGAATCACACCTCCCAAAGACTCGAAGCTACTTACCACATGTGTCCCTACATCCACAACGACCAACCGGAAGCAATATAACGCCATTCATGCTGTTTTCAAAGGAGAGAAAACACTGCCCTAAAATCGGGGAGCCGTCGTTGCAATCAATACCCCCAGCTGCTGTGGCTGCACCGTGCGGGGCACCATGCTTCTGAAAAAATATTTATATTTAGTGTCTTGAAAGCGGGCAGCGTCCCCTAACTCTTGATATCCTTACAGTGGGTGAACGACTACAATCCTGTAAGGAGGCCAACAAGGAAAAACGTAAGCATCTACTGCTATCTACGTGTCCTTACTTCGACAGTGGGCAAACGACCAGTCCCGTAACGCAGCCAACAAGGAAAAACGTAAGCATCTACTGCTATCTACGTGTCCTTACTCCGACAGTGGGTAAATGACTACAGACCTGTAAAGCAGCCTCTGCTGTTGTTATTGTTTTACGACACCTACCTTGACGCCCTTGACATCCTCAGGGGTGCACCAGCGGCAGAGCTCAAACGCCTCCTGCCATTCCTCGGGTCGTTGCCTAGCCCCCCCCCTCCGCCACGTCGTCTCGCCCTTCTCGGAAGTCACCTTATATATTTTTTTGAAACGAAAAAAATGAGTTGCTAATATTTTTGGAAAAAAAGAAAATAAATAAAAGGTACATACTAACTGAGTTAGCTTACTGTTGTAGATACCGTCGGGGTTTCCTAGCCCGACCCGTGGGCGAAGCAGGACCCTGCTGCTGCTGGTACAAGTTAGTTGGCAACAGAACAACGGGAAGGTCGGCGATAACGAGCGGGGTCGAGATGGACCATGACAGAGACAAAACACAAAGCAACGCCGCGCACGCACGGATGCATACGTACGTACGTAACTGCTGCTCTTCTCCGCCCCCGCCCCCTGCCTAGAAATCCCGCAAACGACCGCGTAATATCCGACATGTCGACCCCATTAGCCCCTTGTGTGTGCTGTCCTTCTTTCTGTGTCATATCTTAAGTCGACGAAGCCAACGTGATGTGTCACCCTCTTTTAGGGTCATGTTCCCCCGCACGTACCTCCGAACCGTCGTGGCGAACCGGCACAACGATGCAGTACGGGTCGGACACGCCCGTAACGTCGCTGGAGACGAGCCCTCTGGCCGAGTGCAATACCAGCCGCAGCCGACGAAGGTTGCCCGATATGTCCTGGGGGGGAAGACGGTTTGAAAACGAAAACGGGATGCGGTGGGGGTATTGTGGTGTGTTTGTGTTGATGCTACTCGCCACAAGTGCATAGATACGACGTGCTTTTCGTCTGCGACAACATCAATCGTAAAAATAATCACCCGCGACACTCCCCGCCTGTACGCCAGCCAAGCTCTCGGTATTCAAGGCCAGAATCTGCCTTCGAAGACAATATCTATATACGGTACGGTAAACACGTTGGACCCGTACGGATGTCGGAAGGTGCTGTGCAGAGACCGGAACGGTTTTCAATGTCAAGACAAAAACAACAACAACCCTTACCAAAGACTCTGTGTACTGAGGGGAGGCTAAAACTGTTTTTAACGTTAAGAC